GAAGGTGGGTAAGTGGATGTCGCTCTGCTGTACAGTAGGTTACAAGTGGGTCACTGTATAATGGATGCTTTTAAATTTGAATTCAATGATACAATATCATTGTATAAGAAAAACGATTCTGAGCGAAGACGGTATGTCAGTCTAGGTTTAAGACAAATTCTATACATATCTACCTATGGTATTAAAAAAAAAATTGACTTATAATAAATTCCAAATTAATCATATCACATTATCACAATATCCATTAGGTACTTATAACATGTTATACATCAACATCAATAACAAACCCTGATACTATCATAGATATATAATAATTAATAGTACACTTTAGAAGTTTCAAGTAGGTACCCACGAATAATATTATATAATCACAACAAAATAACTAGGTTTTAGATTCTGAGTGAAACGATGAATGTATTGATTTTACAATGATGTGTGTCTTTTTTTTTATTTTATTTTTATTTTTTAGATTCTGAGCGGAGCGATGAATGTATTGGTTTTACAATGATGTGTGTTTTTATATTTTTATATTTTTGTGTCTGTCATCACGTTTTGGGACAGTAAAAGTGCTTCGATTTTCTTCAATAGTACCTTTTCTGATAGGAAAGTGAATCTAGTTGGTACTTTGGGGGGTCAAAAGTATAAATTTCCCAGTAGTTTTCACAAGCGCCGGGAAAACAACATAAAAATTAAGGAAAAACGGGAATTTTTACGCAAAATCGATTTTCCAAAAAATCGAATTTGGTTTTTGGTGTAACTTTAAAACAAATGACCGTAGATACATGAAATTTTCACTGGTTGTTTATATTTGAATTTTCTATACACGATAACATTTTCAAAATATTTTGATTTATTTTGAACTGTTTAGGGACATTTTCATTTTTCATTTTTTTTTAGTTTTTTTTCTAGAAATATCAATTAAATTTTATTTGTTGGTTGCGAAAGCTTGAAAATTTAATAGAAGGCTCCTAATATGTTGTTTTAAAGGCAGATGAAAAATATTAAAAATCGTTAGTCACAATTTTTTTTTATAAGCATTTAAAGTTCAAAAATTTACAAAATATGGAAAAATCACGAAAATTAGCAAATTATTTTGAGTTAAGAATTCGTAAAAATTTTTCTTTTTAAATCTAAGATTTGAAAATGAAACACAAGATTCCTTATAAGTTTATCTACCTTTATCAAAAGAAAAATGTCTATAAGAAAGTCAAATTAAATTTTTATGAGCGTTTGAAATTAAAATTTTTACAACATTGAATATTCACTCGATTTCCCATGTAGCGATTTCCTTATTTTGTTGTAATTCAAAAACAAATAACTGTAGATACATGAAAATTTCACTGAATGTTTATATTAGCATTTCCTATACACCATACAATTTTGAAAATATTATGACTCTTTTTGAGCTGTTTACGGATATTTTCATTTTTCAATTTTTTTAGTTTTTTTTTCTATAAATATCAATAAAATTTATCTGTTGGGCCAAAAAGTGTAAAAATTTAATACAAGGCTCCTGATATATTGTTACAATAGCAGTTGAAAAATATTAAAAATACATAAGCACAGTTTTTTTTTATAAGCATTTAAAGATCAAATTTTGACAAAATTTATCAAAATCTCGAAAATTAATCATTGAAATTAATAAATTATAATATGTTCAGTTTTTATAGCTAAGGATTGCAAATTTAAAACAAAGGTTCTCATAAATAGTTCATACTGTAACAAATAAATCTAAAAAATATATGAACACAGTTATTTTTTACAGACATTTTAAATTCAAATTTGGACGAAATTACATATTAAAAAACCTAGAATAACTATTTTAGTTATTTTGTTGTGATTGAATAATATTATTCGTGGGTACTTGAAACTTCTAAAGTGTACTGTTATATATCTATGATAGTATCACGGTTTTTGTTGATGTATAACGCGTTATAAGTATCTAATGGATATTGTGATATGATTAATTTGGAATTTATTATAGGTACCTATTATAGGTCAATTTTTTGTTTCATACCATAAATATGCATATACAGTAAAACCTGTGTAATATGGAACCTGAATAACGTGGAAACCTGACTTTTATGGAAAAATGTTACGGTCCCGGCGATCCTAATGTAATTTTAAATACATCGTTCCCTGAATAAGATGGAACCTGTTTAACGTGGAAATGGAAACAATATTTTGTCATGAACCTGTGTATCATGGAAATATGTACATGTACTATTTTAAAATTATCAGTCAATGAATATAATCTATATCAATTATATAGATTATTTCGTTGCAATAAGTTTATTTTATCGATAAGTGTCGTAGTAGTGTTCTGACGTAGACTGCGTATAGACCTATATTCAATATGACGTCCAAAAATAAATGTTTAACACTAAATGAAAAAATTAAACTAATTGAGTCAAGTGAAAAAGATAAATTAACAGTAAAACAAATTTGTGAACTTTTCAAATGTGGAAAAAGTCAAGTGTATACAGTCAAAAAATGTTTCATAAAAGCCGGGTTTAATTTAGTTTTGGACCAGCCAACAGATGCCATTAACGATAACGATAACGATTTTAAATTGCTATGTTCTACAATAAATGAAAAAGTAGATAGTGATGAATATGTTAACATCGATAAGCATTTATGTACTAATGATACTGATATTATTGCTGATACTACAGTGAAACCTTGCACTTCAATAGACGTTGAACAATCCAGTTCCGAAGACGAAACAGATAATGTACCATTGCACGGCAATGATATTAAAACGTATAAGAACGCCCTCCATGAAATAAAACGATTAGAAATGTTCGCATTGGATCAAAATAATGAAAATGAACTTCTTGAATCAATTCTCAACTTGAAAAATTTAGTAGAAAAGAAAATGGCAAGTCAAATAACAAAACAAAAAACATTGGATGAATTTTGGAGTAAAATATAATATAATAATAATATGTAAAATATATAAAAATATATAAATTATAAATTATGTATATTTAATAAAGATCTACCCATCGTGAATTTTTTTTTTTTACAACCTGCATTAAATGGAAACCTGTCTAAAATGAAAAAAATATCCGGTCCCAACTGTTTCCATATTACACAGGTTTTACTGTAATATGTCTTATACATAGACTGACATACCGTCTCCGCTCAGAATCGTTTTTCTTATACAATGATATTATATCGTTGAATTCAAATTTAATATCATCCATTATACAGTGACCCACTTGTAACCTACTGTACAGCAGAGCGACACCCACTTGCCCACCTTTTTTAATATGTAATTTCGTCCAAATTTGAACATAAAATGACTATAAAAATAAACTGTGATTGTATATTTTTTAGATTTTCCGGTAAGAGAATTAATTACTTACGTGGAATCTTGTTTTTCATTTTCAATCCTTAGCTATAAAAACGAACATTTTATAATTTATTAATTACGATGTTCATTTTCGAGATTTTGAAAATTCTGTCAAAATTCGATGTTTAAATGCTTATAAAAAAAATTGTGCCTATGTATTTT